AAAAGCAGACCTTTTAAAGCCACCACTAAGGAGATTTCTATTTAGAGAATATGCAATAACTCATATTGAGACAAGATTTTAATCTCAGCAAAGCTTTGGATAATCTGCTGGCACCTGTGTTTGATGCTCTTCCACCCCATTGCTCTGCTTAGACTGAGGCCAAAGGCCAGATCCTGCAAGTGTGTTTGTGGCAACAATCCTGCTTATGTGAGGGAGAGTTTTAGCAGAAAAGAGACAAAGACTGGTCAAGATCTGCCCTTGAAAGTATCACCTGTTAGGAAATGACACCAGTGTCATCATATTTTATATTCCTTTGGAGCCTCGTATTCTTTTTAACAAGCACTGTACCAAGTAACATTGTGCAGCCTTGTGCTGCCTTGCTTGAGGACACAGTGTGAAGAATAGACCAGTCAGTCTGAGAGAACCAGGAGAAAGGTAATATCTAGGATCATTTTAGGAAGAATTGGGAAAGATTTTTTCACATGTAGATCTCAGCTGCTGGAGGCTGTGCATCAGCCTGTGTGTGATCTAGAGAGATTTTTGCAGAGGTTTCATGACACAAGCAAGCAGGGATGGGTTTGGTACTGTGTAGATACCATTAGAGATGCTGTGGAGTATTGTTGCTGCTGAGGCCTCTGTATCCAACTGAGATGTGAGCTCCAGTTAACAAGAGTGATATTTGTACAAATTCAGCCTCTGCAGCTCAAGAAAAGAGAAAGAAATGTACAAAATAAAAATGGGCTTGGGTTTGATAATTTGGGCACACAGCGAATGATGCTGTAAAAGGGGATAATGTGGCCGGGCATAACAAAGAAACGGAAAAAAAATCTACATTGATGTATTTTACATAGATACGTGCATCTTTCATCCTTAAAAATGAGCATTATTCATTTGAAAGGGTTAAAAATAACATCGGATTTCTCTCCTTCTTTGATTCTGTGATTCATGCATCCCATTTTAAAGTCTACACCCTGTGAAGAGGAGTGCATTACCAAGGAAAGAGGCTTGCCAGGGACAGAAGGTAATTTCCCGTAGCAGGTGCGTACAGCAGGTGGTACACAGTGTACCTGCAACGAAAAGGTAGATTTAGGCTAAGATTTTATTTAATATGGAAAACTTATTGCATCCTGAGCCACTACTGGGGATGTGCCAAAAATCGTGTCTGCAGCATGATTTATTACGTGAAAATACCACCGAACTAATCAGTGGAGTTACTAATTAATACAAATCTGCATTTTTGCATAAGCAATTAGTGCAAAGAGAGTGCAATGAAAGAGGAAGTTTGACTCATTTAATCTCGGTGTCTATTCAAGCGGAAAGACCCACTAGGGCAAGGCACTAGGATCTACATTTGGAATTTTTTTTCCTTTTGATTAGTTAAAGGAACTAAAAGGTCAAATTATCAATATTTAATTCAAATGGAAATGCATTTGTTCAAGAGGAAAGAAAACACTTTATTTAAACAAGGTGGGACTCTGGGGGTAAATGCCTGGATCAAAAATAATTAGGTTTTGCAGTTACAACAGCATCTAAATCCCTTCTGATAAGAATCCTTTTTCCTAATAACAGAGGTGGTTTGACACCGATAGCAAAGAGTGCTGACGCTATTTAAACTGTAGCTCAGGAGGTAGCCGGCCTACCAATACAATTTAGACATTTGCTTTAATGGTACGTACTTCTCTGATTTGGTTTTTTTTTAATCAATTTGAATTATATTTTAAATCTATTGTGATTTTGTAATTGTGTGCACTTGACTAAAAGAGTAATTTAAAAAGCTGATAATTAAACCTTTGTGGTGATGTATTTTCCATTAACTAAATAGAAGTTTACATTTATAGAATTAAAATAACAACAGCATTTATCTAGCAGGGAAAGGCTCAATAAAATTAATACACTGAGTTTTAAGGGGGGAAAGAGCAGAAAAGGCACCTTAATCAGCCGTGCTAATTTTGGAACACACTGTATCCTAGAGAGAAGCTACGAAGTGCGAAAGCGGTCTCCGCACCGAACCGGTACCGGCGCGGCGCTTCAGGGCGCTGCTCTCCCCCGGTGATTCCCGAGCCATGGCAGCCGGAGCAGGCTGGCCGCAGCTCGGGGTGGTCCGGGCAGTGGGGCTGCCCTCTCCTCCCGTCCCCTTCCCTCGCCGCGGCCTTTGGAAAGGGGCGAGCGGGGAGCGCCGCGGGCAGCCCCAGCCGCCCTTCCCGAGCCCGACCCCCGCGCTCCGGCCCCGCGGCGGGGTGGGACACAGGGACAGCGGGGACAGACGTTTTCCCTTCTCTTTTTTTTTAATTCGTGTTTTGTGTGCGCCTCTCTGGAGAGGGAGAACAGGAAACCTGGCAGCGAAAGGAGAAAGCCCGAGCAGCCCGGGCTAGCCGGGCAGTAAATCACTCGCTCAATTATAAGCGCGGCTTCCTCTCTCCAATAGCTCCAAGCTATTTGGGGAGGCATCTTTTCCCCGCACTCTCGCAGGTGCAATATGAATCAATTATCTTAATTAAGATAATGCCGCAAACCCAAGAGATTTTCGTCGGGAGCGGATTTCGCGCTCCGGACCACTGTAAGGCGTTTCCACAGCGCTGCTTCCCCCGCAGCAAGCCCCCCTCCCGCCCGGCTGGGACAGGGCTCGGAGGGGCCGCGCTCGCCGGGGCCGCAGCGGGCCCCAGGCGGCCCCGGGACCGCCTCCTGAGGGGCCGGGGCCGGGAGGCGGCAGCTGAGGCGGGAGCGGGGGCGGCCGGGCCGGCCGGAGCTTTGTTGGGACGCGTGCGGTTCGCGTGCCGCGCCGCGGGAGGAGGGGAGCGGGGCGGGAAGCCAGCGAGGGAGGGAGGGAGAAGAATAATAAAGGGAAAATGAAAAGACAAAAGGGAAAAATGTAAAAATCATTAAAAAGAAATAGAGAGCGAAAAGAAAATCAAAGGATTCGGGAGGAAAAATAAACAGAAGCCGAATTAGAAGCCAGATGGAGAAGGAGGAGTCTGTAGGTCAGGGAGAAAAAAATAGGCACGCTTGGAGCGATAAAATCAAGCGGTTGGGGGGAGAGGAGAAACAGGGAAGGTGGGAAACTGGAGCCGTTGAGCCAGGGGACGGCCCGAGCAGGGGAGGCAGAGCCGACTGCCCGCGAGATCGGGAGGAGAAGCAGTGCCCAAGCAGCGGGAAGAGCGGGAAGGATGAAGAGAGAGCCGCGGGGCCCCGGCCCCGACGGGCGGCACGGGGCAGCGCCTCGGACCTGCCGGCCCGGCTCCTCCACGGCCCCGCGGGGACCCTCGCCAGTCACGACTGGGACGGGACGAGCCGGGCTCGGCGGGTTTAAGCCCCTCTGTCCGACTGCCTGCTTCTTTATTTGTCTCTCTCTCAGTTACCTGCCAATCGACAACGTGTTGATTTTATCTTGCTCCCAGGGAAGATGACTGTGTTCATCCCACACAGAAGCACACGAGCACCCCAAAGTTCTCAAGGCTCCCCGAGATCCAGTTTTCTGCCGGTGCCCTCCCTCCCAATATTCTTGCCTAGTGTTTCCCCAGCGCCCCACATTCCCGGGCGTATTCCCAGACAGACCTATTCAAAGGGACATTTTCCAGCAACCGAGACAGGGCTGGACCAGACCCGTCTCTCTCCGGCGCTCTCCAAACCTGTTCGAGGCTTGGAGAACACGGCCACCCAAACGCGTCGGTTCCAGCAGCTCCCGTTAACGGTGCCAAGGTACGGGCATGCTCCCGGAGCCTGGAGAAGGCTCTCCAGGGGCAGGGGCCATCCATCGGCGGGTCGGCGGCGGCGCTTCCCTCCCCGCTGTGCCCCGGTGGCCCGGGGGTGCCCCGCTCCGGCCCCACCCGCCCGAGCTGGTGGCACACACCGCTGCTGGCCCGCGCCTCCCAGGGACCCGGCCCGCTTTGCCATAACAAAAAGTAGCCGGTCGCCCTCTGTATTTGATTACCGAGAAGGCGAACATCCCCGGAGTCCCCTCCTGCTGCCCCGGGCTATGTAGGTCACCAACAGGAGAGAAACGTTTTAGAAATAACCCGACCTGGAAAATTATCTTCCAAATCCACCTCCTCAGGGCGGAATGATTTGTTTCGCATTTAAAGCCTCGAGAGGTGAAAATAATTTTATTTTTATTGAATAAATATCAGGATAATGCGTGTGGGTAGCACAGCTATCATGCGAGGGGGCTATCCTTAAAGAGCATCCCTAAGGTTTGGCGGTGCTTGCAAACTCCGCCGAGGCGTTTAAAGACTCTAAAGCCGCGCCATTCGGCGTCTTTCTTCCAAACTTTCCGTTAACCGGCAGCATTCCCACCGAAAACCCGGGAAAGAGAACCGGCCTTTACTCCAGGCGTTAGGACAGAGCGGCAGGTGTGTGTGCGTGCGTGTGTCACAACGGCACCGGCGACAGCCGGGGAAAGAGGAGGGGGCTTGTGGCGGCCACAGGGCGAACACGACAGGGACGGGGAGTCTCGGGGGGTCACCGGCGAGCGCGGTAGGAGATGTAAGGGTGGGGGGGCGGCGGGGACCCTCGGTGGCCGCACCCCAGAACAATGGGAACAATGCAGCGGTGCCGGTGCGGTGCCGGTGCGGTGGCGGTGTCGGTGGCTGTGGCTGTGGCGGTGGCGGTGCCGGTGCCGTGGCTGTGGCGGTGACAGATGGCGCGGCCCGCGGGTCAGCGCGGGTCGGTGTCGGTGGCTGTGGAGGTGCTGTGGCGGTGCCGTGGCTGTGGCGGTGACAGATGGCGCGGCCCGCGGGTCAGCGCGGGCGTGGCGCCTCGGCGGGCGGGCGCGCGGCCGCATACAAATAAGGGGCGTCACGTGGGGGGGGGGCGCCGCCGCGCGCCTGACGTGGGCGGCCATATGGCGCGTGCCACCGGGCGGGGCG